CTAGGGAGAAATCACCTCTTAGCGCATGGCTCAGAAAGGCCCAGGCTAAAGCTGAAGGCCTTGCTATTTCCATGGAGGTAATTCAGGGCTGAGGTGAAAACTAGGGATGAACCCCAAGCCCCCACTATCTCAATGCAGGTGGCTTAGTTCCTCAGAAGGGGGCCCAGGCCAAGGAGATAAATAGTACATAGGCATTTGAAGTCTGTTTTGAGCCTCTCCTACCTAACTAGGGCTCCCGCCCATAACTTACACTGAGCAGTCCACCACAAGGGCCTCCTGAGTGACCAAAGACCCTGTGGAGTTGACACTGGGCCATGGGGTAGAGGGCACGGCAGGCAAAGGTGCCACTCTGCAGCAGGTGCAGTGGGGGTCGAGGTTTGGCCATGAGGAGTACATCGGAGAAGAGGAAGAACATTCGGGGCCGAGGCTTCCCATGGGGAGGCACTACCAATAACCAGCCCTGGCGTAGGAACCAGCGACCTGGGGGGTGGGAGAGCTGTTATTCTGGTGCAGCTCCACGACCATGATCCATGGGAGCAGAAGGAAGGGGAGGCTAAGGAAATAGGGCATATGTGCTGGCAGTACAGAAAAAGGAGGGTCAGAAAAGGGTAGTTTGAGGATTGGGGGGCGGGGGGGAGAAGGGGAGTGTTCAGACTACCTGAGGTAAGCCCCTTTGCCTGGCGGCCACTGAGCAAACCCTGAACACGCCGGAGGTGCTGGTCATTCTTCTGTTTCTGACCAATGCTGTGGACTCTCTGGGCGGTCTCACTTATCAGCCGGGCAGCCCCTGGAAAACACCCCCCACCCTACTCCCAGTAGAGCTTTGACTTTGGGTGACTGACGGTGGGGAAAGGCTATTCTGGAGGGGACTGGGGTGAGGGTCTAACCTCTTGGAGAGTAGGCAGGGCAACAGGCACATTGTGTACATGTCAATGGAAGACAGGGACATACCAGACATTGTTGGTCAGAACCAGAAAGGGATACAGGAGAGGCAGCCTCTTGCCTGTGTTTCAGAGGAGCAAGAACATACGTGTGAGCTGTTGGTGGTCAGAGCTGTTGGGACCTGTGTTTTCAGCCAAAGCCATGACAAGATTCTCATACCTGGAATTAAGACAGCTGGGAGTCCATGAGGGGAAGTAGAGCTGGGCAGAATTCCTTCTGCCTGACATACAGATCGCTCCTGACACACACTTCAGTTGCAAGGCCAGGAAAGATCTGCTTCTGATGATTGCATCCCCCTCTTTCATCTGGGACTCAGAACCTGGGCTCTTACCACATGGCCCTCTTCCATCCCACACTGAGGAGTCAGGAGCAGATTGACCATAATTTGGGAGTCTAGATCCCAAAATGAAAATTAATCCACCCAAGGAGGATGTTAGAGATAACCTGACTGTATCCTCTTAACAGCCCCAGGAACAGAAGTCTAAGGTAGGCAAACCTCTCATCTCAACAAACTTCCAGATACCTTGCTTGTCACTAGCTCTATTACAGGCCCCCTCACTTCAATGCAGAGTTCCACATTCCTAGCTAAGGGGCTGAGGCTGCAGACTCCAGCTACTCCAGTGGGTTCACACTCTTGCAAGAGGTTTTTAGGAGCAGTTTGTCCCAGGAGAGGCAATGGGAAAGAAGCCATAAACCCCACAGAGCTGACAGCAGCAATCATACAGACTCAGAAAAGAGAAGTTGGCTGAGTCCAGGTGAGTTTACTCACTGCTGGAGCCTCTGCAGAGGCAGAGGGAGCAGATCCTGAAGATGAAGGCTTCCAAACTCAGGGCGGCCTTCCTGAAGTCGCACAAACCTCCGGAAACGTTTGTTTTTCTTTAGTTGCTCCTGGAGGGATGAGGAAAGGGTTGGCAGCAGGGAGAGAAGCCACTCCTTAAGATTGTATTCATCTGTGTACACACCCCCAGCCCTCTATAAGCCGTGTGCTACTGAGAGAAGCCCTACAGTGAACCTAGGACAGATGGGGACACCCATGGGGCTCTATAAATGTAGGAACAGTATGAATGAAGTTTGGAGCTCCAGAGGAAGAGGCAGTGTATGGGGCAAGAGGGGAAGGACTTGAGATTATCTTCGGGTTACCTGCAGGGTGGTCCGGGACCTCTCTGCGTTGGCAGCAAATTGAGTGTAGAGCTCCAGGTGGGGGCAGAAGCTTTCCAGCCCCTGCCCCCAGTGCCCTCCTTCGAGGTAGGGAAGCAGCTCTCTGCGTGGGTGAGGACAGTAAAAGAGCAGTCCAACAACTACCAAGCACCACCTCATTGAATTCTCATAACCTTGCCCTGGAGGTAGAGGTATTACCCCATTTTACAGATGGAAGGTGGGGCATGGCAAGGCACTGGGCCAAGAGCACAGGTGAGGTAATTGGCAGACTCCGTATATGAACCTGGGTCTCCCCCCACTCCAAGCTTCGTGCACTGCCAGAGGCCAGGGCCTTCCCTCTTCTCTTTCCCCACGCCCCTTCTACTCACTGGCTGGCGCCGTATATGAGTTCCCAGGGCCCAAAGAGGGCCTGGCGCTCTGCTGGTCGCAGGGTGCCCGTGGCTCTCAGAATCCCCACGAAATACTGCGGAAGAATACCGGTATATAGTCTGCAGGAAGAGGAGGCTAATGCCAAGCCGCCGCTAGAAACCGTAGAATTCCTGAGGTCCCTACATGCAGAAGGACAGCCCAAGACCCAACACACTCGGGGTCACCGACCTCGCTGAGACCCTCCCATACCCTGGGCTCCCCGCCCCATAAGGGAGGGCGCGCGCGGCCGCACCGTGGCCACCAGCCCCAGCTGTTCCTGGTAGCGCCGCTCGGTCTCCAGCAGCTCCCGGGCAGTGCAGGCGCGTTTCCGCTCCCAACGGGCACGCTGCTCTTGCACCGGGCACCGTCCGCTGGCGCCCGACCTCTCCATGCCGGGCTGAGGGGTCGGTCCTTCCGGCCGCAGCCCGCCGGAGATTCAAATCCCAACCGCTCCGGGGGCGGGGCCGGGGAGAGGAGCGCGCCCCCTGGCGCCGGGAGGCTGCACGCGGGACGGAGTATGCGCGGCGGCCTGCCGACCCGCTTCGAGTCTCTGCCGTTACGGCCTTGCCCTACCGCCAGGGCGGCGCTGCAGGTGCGAGAAGCCCGCTAAAGCAGCGCCGAGTGGGGCAGGTGGGTGGCCCTCCTCTGGAGTGGCGCTAAATTGGGGCGGCATTGTGGACCTTGAGTCAGGAGATTTGGGTGTGCAGACACCAGCGGGGCCTCAGTGTCCTATCTGTAAAATTAGGAAGGGGGCAATAATTACCGTACATATTCTGTCCTGGGTCTGTGCCCGACTCTGGGGCCCAGTCGTCCCCAGTGCTTTCACTACTAGGAAACCTTACCGGTCACACGGTTTGAAATATTTTGGCCCTTGGACAAAAGTTTTAGGTTTTGGGCTTCTGGGTGGCTCAGTTGGTTAAGCGACTGCCTTCAGCTCAGGCGATCCTGGAGTCTGGGGATCGAGTCCCACAACGGGCTCCCTGCTGAGCAGGGAGTCTGCCTCTCCCTCTGACCCTACCCCCTCTCATGCGCTCTCTCTCTTTCATCCTCTCTCTCAAATAAATAAATAAAATTATTTAAAAAATAAAAATAAAAAAGTTTTAGGTTTTAAATTACTAACTCGTTTTCTCCTTTCATACTGATCCAAAACCTGACAGCCCATTAGCTCCTGGTCGGTAAACGTTAGTAACTAACGTGATGGTCAGAATTGCTGTAATTCTGGCCAAAGGCTAAAGCTTGGAGTTGATTAGTCTGTGCTACCTAGTCAAAGATAAAATGGACCAGATTTTCCTTACTTCGTTAGGTCTTTGAAAAATTGACAGTAGCCCTGGAGGGTAAATTGGCAGTGCCATTTTGCCAGGATGTATAAGAAGTCTTTTTTTTTTTAAGATTTTACTTATTTATTCATGAGAGACAGAGGGAGAGAGAGAGAAGTAGAGGGAGAAACAGGCTCCCAAGGAGCAGGGAGCCTGATGCGGGACTCGATCCCAGGACCCTGGGATCACGACCTGAGCCGAAGGCAGACGCTTAGCCATCTGAGCCACCCAGGTACCCCTGTATAAAAAGTCTTAAGGGTGCCTGGGTGGCTCAGTCGTTAAGCATCTGCCTTCAGCTCAGGTCATGGTCCCAGGGTCCTGGGATCAAGCCCCACATCAGGCTCCTTGCTCAGCGGGAAGCCTGCTTTTCCTTCTCCCACTCCCCCTGCTTGTGTTCCCTCTCTTGCTGTGTCTCTCTGTCAAATAAATAAAATCTTAAAAAAAAAAGTCTTAAAATGTGCTTACTCTTATGACCTAGCAATTCCATTTTTAGAAATGCATCCTAGAGAACCAGATATGTGGACAAAAATATATATGCCAGAATGGGTGGTACAGTGTTGTTTGTAACAATAGAAAACCGGAAGCCATCTAAATGTCCAGTGGTAGAGAACTGACTAGGGGGAAAAAAAAGAGAATTGACTAGGAAAATTATGACACAACTATTTGAAGGAATAATACAAAAGCATTAAAAATGTAAAAAACCTATCAATATGGAAAAACAGTATATTGCCAAAACCAAAAAAAGGCAGGCTAACAAAGCTGTTTGTACAATATGATCCCATATACGTAGAGCATACATAGGACTGGAAGTAGTCAAGAGGTAGTTGCGGTTGTTATCTCTGGGTGATGGGATTGAAGTTAATGCACTCCACAAATATTTTTTTAAGCACCTAATCTGTGCTAGGCACTGGATCGCTGAGGTTAAAGGGGTGAATGGAACAAATAGGGTGATTTTTAAAATTCCCTATGTTTTTCTCATTTTGCCAAGTTTTCTGCTTGAGCATGTATGCATTACTTTTTATTTTTATTCATTTTTTTAAAGATTTTATTTATTTATTTGACAGAGAGAGAGCACAAGTAGGGGGAGCTGCAGGCAGAGGGAGAGCGAGAAGCAGGGGAGCCTGATGCAGGGCTTGATCCCAGGACCCTGGGATCATGACCTGAGCCAAAGGCAGACGCTTGAACTACTGAGCCACCCAGGCGCCCCACATGCGTTACTTTTTAACTAGGAAAAAAATACTATTAAAGACCAAAATGTTAAGAAACCTTCAGACCCTGCATTCCTACCACTGTGGACTCCTAGGAATTTGGAACCCAAGACAAGAACCAGAGTACTGTTAGGGTTCTGAGGTCCCCTTTAGCTCACTGACATTCTAAGAATTCTAAGGAGAAATGCTGGACTTAGATCAGGGAAAAACAACTTGAAGGGTTGGATGGCGGGAAAGAGAAAGTTTTGGGTCAGACTGTACCTTGGACTTGGGTTGTAAGGAAACTGGTGATACCATATAGGTGAGGACTGGTTACACTCTCTCAAGTGAATGTGGGGCAGTCCACACTAAGAATTCATGGTTAAGGGGACAGATAATCCCATGTAGTCAGTATCACTATGAGTCTCTTCTGCAGCCGTGGAATGAGCAGAAACATGGCCCTACATGTCTGAAGACACAGACCCTAACCACCAAAGACTTGGCCATAAATACCACAGAGAGGCCATGCATCAGGCAGGGAGTGACCCAGTCAGTTGGGCCTGAGTACACCGTGTCCCAACCTGGGAAAGCTCCCTGAATAAGACTCTGGGAGCTCAAACCTGTTTTAGAGTTTGGCAGTCTCCCAGCTGCAAAGGCATGATCCAGGGTCAGAGTCTATACTCCCCACCCAGACCAGAAACACAGTCACACACAGAAACAGAGCGCTTAAGAAAGAGCACCAGGAGAATGGCGTTTGGAAAATTAAAAGGCTGAAACAGAGAGAGACCTGCTCATAGACACAGATCTAGGCTCTGAAATACTGACTAAAAGCAGCTGAGACGGCAGGGAGACGTGTGGACATATAGAGTGCTTCGGAGAAGTGTACCAGGGAATCCTGACAGGGACCTAAATGGGAAAACAATGGAAAGAAGAACATTTGGAAACAGGGAAAATGAAGTAAAGCTGGGATGGGTCTTGGAGAAAGATCTCCACACATACAGACTCCAGGCTCTAGTTAGCATGGTGCTTCTGTCTTCTGTGCTTTCTATGAACTCTTCCACCTCAACTAGATTCATCTTACCACATTCTGTCTTGTCCAGGTCCATCCAATTCAGATACTACCATGTGCCCTCCATGTGTTAGTGTCTAACCAAGGTTCTGACATCACAGCTGACCCAGACAATAAGCTGACCTTCCACATTGCACACTGGATCAGATTTCCATGGATGGCTCTTAATTTGGCCCCAGAGATAGCAACCCAGATTGTTAGGCTGACTGCCTCCTTGGAGGACAGCAACTGTTCAGCTCTGTGAAAATTTTGGTATACAGTGCGACAGTCTGACAAGGCAGATAATTTGGGGTACTGTAAAAATGTGACATCATGCTCTTGGAACAGTTGTGGTTTGACAAACACAAGTCATCCACTGAGCTCCCTGAGGGCAGGGAAGGCATCTTAGTCAATGTGGTTTTTCTCAAGTCCTGGCAAGGTGGTCTGCAGAGAGAAAAATGCTCAATAATGGTTGGTGAATAAAAGACTTAATTAAATAATGGACCCTGCCCTTATGGAACTTAAGGCTATTAGATGATAAAATGTCATAAGTCACCATAATATAAGTTGGATGGTGGGCAAGGTTATTAGCAAGGGCAGGCAAAGAACTGTGATGGTTCAGAGGCATCAGAAATCTCTTCCTGTGGCAGAAAGTGGAAGAGGTGGCCTTTGAGCTGAGTCTTGAACCACAGAAGGGATTTAGACAGGACAGAGAGTAAAACTAACAGGGTAGTGGGTACGCAATTACTGATTCATGACAGTGGCTGGCTGGGGCGTTCAAGTGGGGTCCTTGGGCCTCTGCTGTGCCAGGCATTACCTCTTTAGATAAGAGATCAGTAGAGTCCCCAGAGAGGAGGGAGGTAGCCGGAGCACCCTGAAGCTAGGAACTATTTCTCAACAGGATTAGAAATATTTCAACAAATTTCTCTTAGCCATACAACCGTACTGGTGCATATCTACTGAATGTTAGCCCCAGATAGGAACTTCCTGAGATGGCCTTATTCTCTTTTGGTTTGTTGGAGCCATAGGGACCTTACTAGAATGTGAGCTACAGAACAGTAGAGGCAGGTCTCTAGTTCAATGCTGCATCCCTAGGGCTTAGAATGGTACCTGGAGGATTAGAGGAGGCTCAATAAATGTTTCTCAAATGAATAGGCATACTGGGAACCCCAGGTCCATTCTTGGGGTCCTTTCACTCTTCATCTCCTTGCACGTGCTCTCCCCCTCAAATCCATGCTCCACACCAGCCCTCATTACAACCTAGTATGACAATTGGACTCTGTCATTCTCCTGCACAAGATATTTGATGACTTTCCTTTGCACAAAATACCATTCTCCCCATTGTTTTTAGCAATTGAATTGCTACTTCTTCAAAAGTCCTGATCAGATTTTGTCTACTTCTGTATTACTTTCTGAGGCAGAACTCATCTCTCTCCACTGAATATTGTGATAGTGTTTGCCCTCACTCACTAGACAGTGTGAGCTCCTTAGGACAGGGACTGTGTCTTATTCATTTCTGTACCTTTAGTCCGTAGCCCAGTGCTGGACATTGTAGATGCTAAATAAATATTTGTTAAATATAAGAGTGAGTGGTATTCCCAGCAGTGAGAACTAGATGAACAAAGGTGACCAAAGGTCTGGGGGGAAAATGAATAGTTTAATTTGGCTGGAGTATGGGGGAGAATAGTAGGAGATAAAATGGAAAGGTTTCTTGGGTCAGATTTTGAAGGGCTTGAAAGTCAGCTGCAGGAAGAAGATGGGCAGATGGAAGCCAATGAAGGTTTTTGAGCAGAGGTGTAATATGATGAAAAATAAATTTAGTTTAAAGCCATCACAGTCCCTCTCTTACACATACTCAGTTTTTCATTTATACTCAGATTCACCTCCCACCTACCTCTCTGTCCAGCCACTCCCAGGCTTCCCCAACAGCTTGTCCTACCCCTGTATCTGCTCCCTGGCTAGGCCAGGGATATATCCATGGGCTGCTTCCCCTCTCAGCCAGGGGCTGTGGGGCCCCCAACTCCCTGTCTTTCTCCTTCTCTTCCTGGGGCTGGGAAGCAGGCCAGGGTTAGCTGAGGCTGGCTGGTGAGCAGCTGGGCGGTGCCAGGGAGAGCCTGTGTAGTGCCAGGTGGTGCCTTGGGTTCCAGGCTGAGCCTGTGACCCCGATAACCTCCTGCGTGTGCACATACCTGCCCCTCACACCACCCCCATCCAGGCTTTGGTATCGGGGAAGGGGCACAGGGTCAGGCAGACCCACGGGACTTTGGCTCCATCTCTACAAAAGGGCCCTCTGTGAGTCAGCCTGCTCCCCTCCAGGCTTGCTCCTCCCCCACCCAGCTCCTGTTTCCGATGCACGTACAGCCCGTACACACCGTGTCTGGGACACCCCGCAGTCAGCCGCATGGCTCCCCTGTGCCCCAGTCCCTGGCTCCCTCTGTCGATCCCAGCCCCTTCTCCAGGCCCTGCTGTGCAGCTGCTGCTGGTACTGCAGCTCCTGGTGCCTGCCCATCCCCAGAGCCTGTCCCGGATGCAGGGGTCGGCCGGGCTGGGAGGAGATTCATCTGGGGAAGATGATCAGCTGGATGAGGAAAACCTACCCAGTGAAGAGGACCCACCAGGAGAGGAGGGCCCACCTGGAGAGGAGGACCCACCTGGAGGGGAGGACCCACCTGGAGAGGAGGACCCACCTGGAGGGGAGGACCCATCTGGAATGAAGACTGAACCAGGAAAAGAGGACTCTCTGAAGTTAGAGGATCTGCCTACTGTTGAGGCACCCAGGGACCCCCCAGGCTCCCAGAATAATGCCCACAGGCACAACAAAGGTAAGTGGTCATCAGCCCTCCAAATCTAGCCTCCAGGAGGTTTGTCCTCCCCTCACTAAACCCCAGCCCCGGCAGGGATTTATTCAGAGAAGAAAAGGAGCCTGTACTCTGACAGTAGCCTTTCCCATCCCCAGGGAAGCTCTTCCCCATCAGAGCCCGAAGGGGATGAATGGGGAGACAAAAAAGCACAGACGGAGAGAGGTGAGCAGGAAGAGATGAGAAAGCAAAGAGGAGGTTGGAGAGGAGAAAGAGATGTGGAAAGAAGACATAGTATGGTGGAGAGAAGTAAGACTATGAGGGAGGAAAAGAGGAAAGATGGCGGGGGGGGTAGCCAAGGAAGAGCCAGAAGGGCTTGTAGAGATCACCTCTTCAGTCTACAGATGAAGAAACTGAGGCCTAGGAAGAAGGAATAGCAAGTAGGGGAACCTGAGAGTTTGACTCAGAAACCAGGAACCTTGGGAAGGGAGTTGGAGACAGGAGAAAGGGAAGAGGGTGTATTGATTTGGGCCTGGGGACTGAGGCCCCCACCCACTTTACAGACTGAGATAGCAGTTGCAAACTGATTATCTCTGGGGCCAGTAGGAGCTTTGGTCTACCAAGCCACGGTGTTATGTTTGGTTGCAATCTGTTGTGCTTTATACCTGGCCACGTTAGGCATTTCGGTTACCTGCTATGCCCCTGTAAGGTATCTGAGTTGGAGAACCCCTGCTAGTGAGGGGGACCCACCTCTTTCTGGCTGCTGGGGAGGGACTAGGCTTAAAGATCGGCTTTTCATCCTTCTCATTGATGCAGGGGATGACCACGGTCATTGGCGCTATGGAGGTGAGCCACCCACGCCCTGCACACCCACCCTGGTCACCCTGCTCTGCTGATGTGAGCCCCCAGCCCTCCTGAACTCTGCTCCTGGGCGTCCCACCCACTGCATCCTTGTCTGCCAGTCCCCAATTCCGCCGGCTCCCTGTCTCTGTCCACAACCCTGATTTCTATTTCCCGCCCTATGCCTTCTCACTCCACCCCCTCACTTTTTCTTTTCTTTTCTTTTTTTTTTAAAGATTTATTTATTTATTTATTTGACAGAGACACAGCGAGAGAGGGAACACAAGCAGGGGGAGTGGGAGAGGGAGAGGCAGGCTTCCCGCCGAACAGGGAGCCCGATGCGGGGCTCGATCATGACCTGAGCGAAAGGCAGACGCTTAAGGACTGAGCCGCCCAGGCGCCCCCCCTCACTTTTTCTACCCCGCTTTCCGAACTGTTCCTGATCTTGTCACCAGACTTCCTGTCCTCACTCTCACTCCAGGCGACCCGCCCTGGCCCCAGGTGTCCCCAGCTTGCGCAGGCCGCTTCCAGTCGCCAGTAGATATCCGCCCAGAGCTCGCCGTATTTTGTCCGGCCCTGCAACCCCTGGAACTCCTGGGCTTTGAGCTCCCGGCACTCCCAGAGCTGCGCCTGCGCAACAATGGCCACACGGGTGAGGCGGGGGGCGGGGGGGGAGTGGTCTCGCGGCGGAGCCTCAGGAGGGGGCGGAGACTATCTGGGGCTGGGCCGGGGTCTAGTGCCGAGGGCCGGCCAGGCGTGTGCTTGGGAGTTAGCCTGGCCCTCCCGGGTAGGTTGGCCCTGCGGGCTCAGCTGCCTCTTGCCTCTCAGTGCAGCTGATTCTGCCTCCGGGGCTGGAGATGGCCCTGGGCCCCGGGCAGGAGTACCGGGCCCTGCAGTTGCATCTGCACTGGGGGGCTGCGGGTCGCCCGGGCTCGGAGCACACGGTTGACGGCCGCCGTTTCCCAGCCGAGGTGAGCGCATAGCGGAGAGGCGAAGGGGGGCGCTGGGCCGGGGGTCTTGGCCACTTCTACCCTCTGTTTCTCTCCAGATCCATGTGGTTCACATCAGCACTGCATTTGCCAAAGTTGATGAGGCCTTGGGACGCCCGGGGGGGCTGGCCGTGTTGGCCGCCTTTCTGCAGGTACCGGCCCTGGACACCCCTATACCCTGCTTCCCCACGCCCCAGGGCTCAGGGTAGTTTGACCCCAGATACCCCATCCTGGCACACGCAAGCTGGCACCTGGTAGTCCGCATTCACTCATTAATTCATTCAACACCCCCTGTAGGCCAGGCACTGAGCCGCACAAAGGATTCCGAAACCGTGGCTCCGCCCACAGCCGGTGGAGGAGGCTGACTTGAAAGACAAAAAGGCACAGACATAGTAAAAGAGGTGGTCAGAGAAAACTTCACAGAGGTCAAACTTGACGCCTTCAGTAGTGGGAAAGAAAAGGAGACGTTCCATGCAGAGCCAACAGTGTATGTGGACTAAGAATATGACCCACTCAGGGAATGGCAGGTGGAATGGAGGGGAGAAGAGTAATTTCTTGAATACTCCTATAACCTGTACTTTCCATTTTGCGAAATGCAATAAAGTCTAGAGAAATATTTAGTGACCTCTTTGGACCTGTAACAAACAGGGCTACCTACACAGTGATTAGAAGAGGCTAGTAAAATGGAGGGATGGTGAGATACCTTTTAGGTTCAGTCACTGCTTGACTCCTTAACGCCAGCCTCACAGCACAAAGTTCAGAGCAGTGCCTCTGAGATAGCATGTCCTTGCTCCCAAAATCAAACACATCAATTCTTAAGGTGAATGTAGAGGAAACGTGAATACAAGGTTATTATGGTTTTCTGTGGGGAGACCATGAGTGTGTATGTGGAGGTAGGATCAGTGAGACTGGAAAAGATAGTAGAACCCAGGTCACTGAGGGCCTCCTATCCTAGGAGAGTGGCCCACCTTCCTCCTTCTCCAATTTACCCTTGAAAACCAGCCCACCAAGCAGGTTAGGTTCGTTTGCAAAATAAAAGTAAATTGAGTAGTAATACACAGATTTTGTGTTCTCCCAGCATTCTCAGAGCTGAGAAAGGGGGGGAGGGGAGGTATGGGAAGGCCACCTCACCTTCAGGCCTCCAGCCACGCATGGCCTTAGATACCTGTAAGAACCTGTCTTGTACTGTCATTTCCCAGGAGGGCTCAGAAGAAAACAGTGCCTATGAGCAGTTGCTGTCACATTTGGAAGAAATCACTGAGGAAGGTCAGTTTGTTGGTTTGGCCACTACCCTCAATACCCTTGTTCATAAAGAACTCTCCTTGGGGAGCCTCAGGTGTGATGGAGATGGGCTCCCTCCCAAATGCAGGGAACCAATGTGTGAACTAACTATCATCTTGACAATAATTATAAAGCTGAGCAGAGGCCCACAGGCTTTATGGCTAAAAACCAAAACAAACAGATGAAAACCTCATCCCATCCCCCCAAAAAACCCAAACCCCACAAAACCCCAAATCAAACAAAAACCAAAAGAAGATACAAAAAAAGACCAAAAAAACCAAAAAACAAAAAACAAAAAAAAAAGTTTGGAACTTCAGAGGTTGAGTCCAGGGAGCTAAAATTTTTCTGAAAACTGTCTATTTCTCCTTCATAAAGCATCAACTATTTTAAATTTGTACTTTTGTTGGAAATCTTTCCCTTCTCAGCCACTCTGAGTAATTTTAAACCTCACTACCAGAACTTACATTTTACTAAACTAGAGGGAACTGTGTTTGTGTCTGTTCTTTATGGTTTCAAATGTTTATATTGATTTACAAGTTATTCAGCTCATTTTCCCTTTTGATTCATTTTGGGTTTAAATCTGTAGTCCAGCATGTTATCATAGAATGCAAAGTAAGAGCGAAGACTCAGAGGGAGGACCTTGGGAGCACTTCTTTCACTCTGTGAGGCCTCACAGCCCTTTACCTTCTTCTGAGTTAGGTCTTGTGCTGAGTTATGGGAAGGGACACACTTAGCGAAGACGTGGTCTCAGGAAGCTGCACCAGCTTGGCTTCTGGGAGGTGAAACTTATCCCTGTACTCCAAAGCTTTGGAGGGAAGCAATCCAGGTGGGATTCCAGCACAGGTCCTCTCTACAGACTCGGAGACTTGGGTCCCAGGACTGGATGTATCTGCACTGCTGCCTGCTGACCTCAGCCGCTACTTCCGCTATGAGGGGTCTCTAACCACACCCCCCTGTGCCCAGGGGGTCATCTGGACTGTGTTCAACCAGACAGTGAGGCTGAGCGCTAAGCAGGTGGGGCTGGGGCATGATGGTGACATAGGGGATGTGGAGGAAAGGGGTGTAAGGATGAGATCAAGGTGGATAAAGAGATGAAGCGGCCAAATGGGGGAAGCAGAGGACATAGCGGGTGAAGCCCTGAGGTGCTGGCTGTGAGTAGGCCTGTGACCCTTTCATTTTCTTGTCACGAGCCCACCCCCACTGTCTCCTGACCTCCCTAGCTCCACACCCTGTCTGGCTCCCTGTGGGGACCTGATGACTCTCGGCTACAGCTGAACTTCCGAGCCACGCAGCCTTTGAATGGGCGAATGATCGAGGCCTCCTTCCCCACTGAAGTGGAGAGCAGCCCCAGGACTGTTGAGCCAGGTGCGGCTTTCTGGTGCCCCATATTGCTGTGTGAGCCGCCCCTTCCCCTCCGCCACAGGTCCCTCTCCCTCCCATGTGTCTTCATTGGTGCCTGTGTCTGTCACTGGTATCACCGGCCCTGGTCCTAATTTGTCCTTTTCCTCTTCAGTCCACCTGAATTCCTGCCTTGCTGCTGGTGAGTCTGTGCCCCATCTCTGGCTCCTGACCCTGTGGCATTGTTCAGCCTCAGGGGCGAGGACCACCTCTACCCCCTCTCCTTTTCTGCAGAACAGACCTCCCACCCCAATAAGATAGTCAGATCAAGGGGGAGGGTGTTCCCCTGCCCCCAGGGCAAAAGTTGATCAGAATGAAGCTCCAGAGATCTCCTAGCATCCCCTTTCCCAAACAACCTCTTTTAGGTAAGAAAAGAGGTGCTCATCTTACTCCTCCTTGGGTATCCACCCCCATCCCTTTGCTGGCCTCTTCTGGATTCTGACACTGAAGGCAGCTGGAGAACTGGGGGGCAGGGCTGGGGATCCGCTGCAGGCGGCCGAGGGAATCCTGCAGACCGCTCGTCACTCTGAGGCAGCCTCTCCTCTCCCTCCAGGTGACATCCTGGCCCTGGTTTTCGGCCTCCTCTTTGCAGCCACCAGCACCGCCTTCCTTGTGCAAATGAGAAGGCAGCAAAGGTATACCTGCCCGCTTCCCACTTCCCGCCGCCCCTTCCTCAGCCACAGGCCCAACCTCCCTGGACGGGTCCAGAACAGCTTCAGGAACACTGCATGCAAACGAGCTCATCTGGAGGGGGAGTTTTCTGATTGGGCTTTTGTGTTTGGTGTCGTGTAGACTCCGAAGTGGGACCAAAGGCAATGTTAGCTACCACCCAGCAGAGGTCACCGAGACGGTTGCCTAGAGGCCCTGGACCTTGGGAGAATGTGCAGAGAAGCCAGCCCGAAGAATCTGAGGGCGAGCTGGAGATTTTGTCCTGTCCTTACCCTTTATAACCACTTCCTTTTTTAGGTCCAAATATTTTTTTAAATAAATGTTTCTAATAAAATATATGGAAGGCAGCTTTGTTCCCCAAATCAGGAGGATGGTGTATTTATTTCCTATTGCTGCCTTTAACAAATCACCACAAACTTAATGGTAATGCAAATTTATCCTCTTAGGGTTCTGGCGGTCAGAAGTCCAAAATGAATCTTCTGGGCTGAAGTCAAAGTGTCAGCAAGGGCTGGTTCCTTCTGGACACTTTGAGGGGAGGGGGGTTTCCTTTTTCAGGTTCTAGAAGCCAAGGATTCCTTGGCTTGTGGCCCCTTCCTCGTATCTCTCCAGCCTCTCGCTTCCATTGTTGTTATCTCTTACAACTGCCTTTGACCTTGCCTCCCTCTTATAAGAACCTTTGTGATTACATTGGGCCTACCTGGATAACTTAGGATAATCTCCCAATTTCAAAATCCTTAGCTTAATCATGAAGTTCCTTTTCCCACGTAAGGTAACAGTTCACAGGATTAAGGTGTGGACGGTTTGGTGGGGGGCATTACTGCCTAGTACAGATGTTTTCGGGAAGGGGGCGGAAGTGACTGAGATAGTTAGAATGACCGTGGGCACACCCACAGCAGTGTATGTGTCTGGGGGTAGGGCAGGCTTAGCCTCTAGGCTTAAAATCATAGTGAGGCTTTTGGGCTTTCACCCTGCTCAAGTAAAATCTGTGTAGCTTTGCAGTTTTGCCTTCAGACTGGCGGCCTGCTGGAATGGGGCAGCGCCGCGGACAGCAGCTCCTTTGCCCTGCGGGTAGAAAGGGCCCGGATGTCCCCCCAGCCCAGCGGGGCCTCTCTGCTTCACACAGCCTGGTCACAACCCTCCTCAGTGAACCCACTGCCCCCACCTCTTGGCTCCCTTAGCAAAGGAAGTCCTACGGTGGAGCGTGGTCACGCAGGGGCCCTTCCAACGCCACTGCTCCCCTCGGGCATCCTCTTAGCCTTTCTACTTTGGGAAACCATCACCACCTTCGCCAACACCAAAGAAAGGTTGGAAGGGCCCTGTGATGCCGGTAACATCCACTTTATTGCGTTGGGGCGGCGACGGCAGCCCGGCTGGGGGCAGAGCCACCCTCACAGGTTGTTGAGTTCCAGCAGGGTCTGGTCGAGAGTCTGGTGAATCTCCACGTTTTCCTCCTTGGCACTGGCCAAGGTCTCTGCGAGGGGAAGCAGCACGTGAGGGGGGGCAGGGAGACACGAGGGAAGACGGGGGCTGAGGCAAACTTGGAATGGGATGGAGGCACAGGAAGACATAAGCACGAAGGAATCTGAGGATCCTGTGCCGGGGCAAATGGACGGACTGACCAAGACAGACACGGACGCCTCACTTGAGGCTTCGGGGTCATGGGGGTGGGATGGGAGGGCCTGAGTCAGAAACTACTTTACTTCCTTCCTTACGGGGTTTACGAGAGTTGGAAACAGAAGGAAAGACAAAGACTGAGCCAGAAAGGGGAGGGCCAGACAGACCTGAGGCAGAAAACAGACCTGCAGGGAGAACCCCATGTTGTTGGCATCCAGCGTTTTCCCAGATGTCACCCTAGACCTTTCACCACCTTCTTGCCCTTCCTTGGCACCTCCCCACCCATCTCCCCTCCAATCTTTCCTTTATCCTGGAACCACAGCGGAGTGCTCTGAGGTCAGTGACAGGCCTGGGTCCACACAAGAGCGCGGCAGAGGGCTCGCGGTGGCGGCAGAGGGCTCGCGGTGACCGATGGGGTGATAGGTGCCCACGTGAAGCAGTGAGACACTGACAGACTGAGAGTGCTGTGTGGAGGGGGGTTCTGCGTGGGCCACAGTGCTCTGTGGGTGAGCTCACTGCGCGGGGGGGTCACAAGATTGGGGGTGTCTGCAAGAGCCAGGATCTCTGTGGGGGTGATGGAAGTGCTCTCTGGAGGGCAGGAAAACAGCACGGAGACCAAGTTGAGTTTATTAAGCAGCAGAAAGAGGTAGAGGCTGGAGGGTGGAGTGGGTGGAGAGAAGAATGAAGCAGGTGCCAAGGTGGGTGGCAGGTGCGCCGGGGCTCTCCAAGGCCGCGCCCAGCCTGGCTGTGTGATGCTGACCGTTTTGCTCCTCCTGCCTGGCCCCTCCCCACGGACAGAGAATGGAAAGAGGAGAGAGAAGCGGCTGAGGGGGCCACACTGGTGTGGGACTCAGAGGGAGGTGATGTCGTTGAGTGCGTTGTCCAGTTCCTCACTGATGGCCTTGTACTTCATCTTCTGTGCATAGACTTCGTCTGGGGGGGGGGAGGAGTCCAGGGGAAGGGGGCCGGATGGGAGTGCGGGGAGAGGGAATGGAGGGAATGGAGGGAGAGAGGAAAGGAAGGAGAGAGGGTAATGGAAAGAGAAAACAAGAATCAGAGAGAGGTGGACAAAGATGGAGTGAGAGAAATAGGCCAGAGAACAGGCTGCACAGCCATGAGGGCTCCCTCCTCCCCTCTCTGTACCCCTGTCTCTTTTTTCTCTGGAGACTAAATTGGTCCTACCTCCCCCAGGGACATGGGGGCACAGTGCTTTGAATGAGCAGGAGTGCTTGCTTCAAGGGGAAGGGGCTGGGGCCAGAAAGGACTAAGGTCCTAAAGTTGGAGATAAAATTGAGGCTTGCCTGAGAAGGCTAGAAGCACGAGAAGTGGGAATTACGAAAGCGAAAGGGTTATCATAGAAGAAAAAGAAAATACAGTTTAGGTATGACATTCTTGCTACTAATGAGAAAGAGCCACAGATTAGCAAATACCTGGATGTTCATTTTCATCAAATCTAGCTTAAAATAGTATTTTCTAGTAATGTCATGAATACTTAGATATTAAGCCAAATCTCTCTATATTTAATAAAAAGATCTTTGTGATATAGCGCTATTGTGTTGCATTTGGTGATGAACTGTCTAGATCAGAGCTAGTCAAAGTGTGGTCTGAGGACCAGCAGCATTGCCATGACCAGGGAGCTTGTTAGACATACAAATTCTCCAGCCCAAAGTCAGCAATCACTTTGGAGTAGGACCCAGGAATCTGTGTTTTAAAAATTCTCGGACCTTCAGCTCAGGTCATGATCCCAGGGTCCTGGGATCGAGCCCCACATCGGGCTCCCCGCTCCGCGGGAGCTCTGCTTCTTCCTCTCCCACTCCCCCTGCTTGTGTTCCCTCTCTTGCTGTGTCTCTCTCTGTCAAATAAATAAATAAAATCTTAACAAAAATAAAAGTAAAAAATAAAAATTCTCGGAGGTGTTCTCATGCACACTCAAGTTTGAGAATCGCTGGAGTGGGCACGCTGCACCCAGGTGCAACTACCTGAATGGTGGGCACAGACCCGGGAGCTGGTGGAGTCCGAGGTGGTCCAACACCCGGATAAATTCACCCGGGACAGACATAATGGGAAAATAAGGGACGGACCGACAGTCACGGGCAGTGGGGACCCACTTAAACAGGCCCTGGGGTTAGGAGGGTATCCCTTTACCTTCCAGGTCATCAATGGTCTTCTCCAACTTTGCCACAGACCTCTCAGCAAACTCTGCTCGGGTCTCAGCCTGGGAGTAAAGGTAACACGGGGGAATGACAAAAATTAGGCCGTCCCGGATACCTTCACTTACGTCAACCTCCTCTTCCAGCCCTATTCCCAAAGTCCTTGCCACGGGCAGTCTCTGACGGGGATGGGGGGCTCAAGGCGAGAGTGGGGACCGAAAGGACTCTTACCTCTTTCAGCTTCTCCTCCAGCAGTTTGATCTCCTCTTCATATTTATCTTCTTTGGTGGAATACTTTTAGGGACATACACATGCCGTCAGGAGATCGCCCCCACAAATCCTTCACTCCACTGAGCCCGCAGGCTCCTCCTGGTCTTGTCTCCAGGGAACACCCAGCCCCTCCCTGCCTGGGCCCAGCGCCGCCCTCCCCTGAAGGACCCCATCCTCACTGCCCCTCTAACCCCCTCTACCTTGTCCGCTTGGGCTTCCAGGGATTTCAAGTTGTTGGTAACAATTTTCAGCTCCTCCTCTAGGTCCCCACATTTACTGCAGGGGGTGTGTGGCGGGGGGTGTGAGGGCACAGTGTGGGAGACAGTGGGGATGGCGCAGTGCGGAAGGGGTGGAGGAGAGAAAAGAGCAAAGTTGTGAGAGTGACAGCAGGCCGAGTCTGGAAGCCCCAGGCCCTTCCCAACCTCCAGCAGGGGAGAGCGCAGCCTGAGACTGGGGGGAAGGTGAACTGAGAGAAGGCACTGTGGCCCAGAAAGGTCCAGAGAGGTCACTACCTCCTCCTCTGAGGCCATCAGGGACTTGAGGGCCTGGTCCATGGTTCGGAGTTCCTCCTCCAGCTGCCTGGCTCGGCTGGGGGCAGCAGTGAGGGGTCAGAGAACAGGACCTGTCCCTATGGCCCCAAGCCTGGGAAACTGCCAGAGTGCCCCAGAGCCACGGGACCAGGCCGAGTTTCACTTGCCGCCCCAGGGTCCCCTTACCTCTCAGCCACCTCCGCTCTCTCTTCTGAGCGCTCCAGCTCTCCTTCCAGGATCACCAGCTTCCTGGCCACCTGGGGGGCGGGGAGGGACAGAAGGAGCACAGCCCTGGTGAGTGGCTGGGGGCATCTGGGGTTTGGGAGGGAGAAGGAAGTGGGGCAGGGCTGTCACCTCCTCATATTTGCGGTCTGAATCCTCAGCAATGTGCTTGGCCTCCTTCAGCTGCATCTCCTGCAGCTCCATCTTCTCCTCATCCTTCATGGCTCGGTTTTCGATGACCTTCATTCCTCTGAGGGGCAGGGAGCAGGGCGGAAGTGGGGTCAGGACCAGCAGAGACAGGCCCCCGGCCCCTCCCTGGCCCGCCCCCCGGAAGGCCCCCCGCCCCACCTCTCACTCTCGTCGGCGGCCTTCTCAGCCTCCTCCAGCTTTTGCAGGGCTGTAGCCAGGCGCTCCTGCGCCCGGTCCAACTCCTCCTCTACCAGCTGAATGCGACGGTTCAGGGAGGCCACGTCCGCCTCGGCCTGTGGGTCAAACGCCAGAGGTCAGAGGGCCTTTGTCTGCCTTGGATGAGGATCAAAGAGGCTCCAGACGATGGTAAGA